AGGTAAATGTAGAACCACAATGTACTCGACTAGACACGGTGAGACGACCACCCATCAGCTCAACCTATTACAAATGCAAGCAATTATTAGGATGATTGTCTAAAAATTTTTATCTGAGTCAAATCACATCAATGCAAAAGTAACAAATTAAACTCTGCCCAAGCGTGGGATTGATATCAAACACTGATTTTATGAGTTTATTTCTCTGTAACTTAACCTTAATATAAACGGTCTCTAAGTTTGAAAACTATCACAACATAAAATGATTGCTCAGGAGCAACTATAACAACAAAAACGAAAATAAGAAAATCCATATAAAATGAAACACAAATTTTATGTCAAGGAAGACCTCACCAGATGTTTGCATATTGCGAGGCCCAGTCCTGTCCCCCCATATTTTCGGGCATGATCGGCACTGACTTGCATGTATCTTTTAAATAGCGTAGGTAAAGCATTTTCTGTTACGGGAATCCCAATCAACTTCACGAAAGTTTCAAGTTTGAGATGGATTGAGGCATTGAGGCAAATAACTTTTAGAGAAAATAGAAGCATACCTGGAATCCCAATCCCAGTGTCATAAACATCACAGCGAATCCACACGGTTGTTTCAGGTAGCTCTGTTTGCTCCTCATCACCATCTAGAGTTCCAATCTTAACCCGGGATCTAGGTTCATCAAGTTGATGACGATGACAAGAGCCACCTCGTTTTTTACCGTGAACACCATTCTGATCACTATTTGTTTGAGATTTTGATGCACATTTCTCTTCTGTGGGCACATCAGTAGTTGATTGATCTGCAGTGGAGCTATGCTGAGATGCTTCCTTCGCAAAAGGTGGCTCTGGAACTACATAAAGTTTTATCCCTACCTTCCCTTCATGGGTAAACTTGATTGCGTTGCTGAAGAACGTTAAAAAATTATTTTTAAGTACATTTTTTGCAGTATTAGCCATGGAATAAATACTGTAATCAATTTTGGAAGACCCTATTAGCACAATTAATGTAAGGCTCATTCATATTTACTTCTGTGCATACGTATTTAATTGATAATATATATATATATATGCGGTTAGCTTTGTTCGCATTACCTCCAAAAAATTAGGAGAAAAAAGTACAAAAATTACCTTAATGCATGTTTTAAAAATATGATAGTTTAGTTTTTTTCAATAAAAATTTATTGAAACAAAATAATTTTGAGATAATTTTCCTCTTAATTAGGTAAGACTGATAGACACTTTTCCCTATATATATTATGTATATACTTGTACAAGGGTAGGTTAGACATTTCACTATGTATACCCATGTACATATATATACGCGCACGACACATAATAAAATATAATAAACATTATTCTGCTTAATTCGTTACCTGATCAAGTTGGTGAGAATTTGCCGAATCCTTAGAACATCTCCAACAACCTGAAATTGTTATGAAATGATGATATCATTTCCAAAAATTATAATAGTAGAAGGCAGAACTCATGGATGGCGCATTGTGAAGTCCCAACTTTTTCTGTAAAGGTGATCCAAAGAATAAAATTATATAGTTTAGAAGACCCTTACCTCAATAGGAACATCATCTGCTACATGTCCTTCCAAGGTCAGAATTTTCTGCAATGATGCCGCAGCTGTCTGGAGAACATGCTTTACAACTTCTCTTGGTCGGAATTTGGCAGTTTCCAACTTCATCACACCTAAACAAATGGATAATTGTAGCAAAATCAAAATTATAAGAACATACCAGATTAGGGAAAAAAGGAGGACATTGATAGCCTGAAATCTGAGACAGAAAACACCAATCTGAATGAGATGTAACAGTTTCAGACGAGTATTACCAACTACATGATCCAATGGATATGGTGACATTGGCTCATGTAGAGAAGAATTAATGCATAAAAGATGTTATGGACGGTATAGTTGTAACAAATTCCAAACCTGACTCAACCTTGGAAAGATCAAGGATGTCATTTATAAGTTGAAGGACTAAATCTCCTGAAGATACCATGACATCCAACAGTTGTCTTTGCTCGTAATTGAGTTTTGTGGTGGCCAGGATCTCAGCCATGCTAACAACCCCAGATAGAGGTGATCTTATCTCATGAGACATAGTTGCTAGCATTTGTTTTGCTCGCATTGTCTCCTCTGTAATAGAATAGAAAAACGGTTAAATTCAGTTTTCTGAAAGCTGGCCAAACTTAAATTGAGCCACTGAGATTTTCAACAAGTGACAAGAACCTGTTATGTGGATTGTTTTGTTCAATTCAGTTTCCTTTGCTTTTTGCACAGCTATCTCCTCTCGAAGCTTTGCCATCTTTTCTCTTTTTCTTACCTGTTGTGCGGATCAAGAGCATAAACCACCATCCTTCATATTGCCAACAAAAGTCCTTAGACAACTAGTAAGAACAAAATGAATTTACCTGATCTGTTACATCCATGCCCATATAATTTATACCAATAGTCTCCCCTGCCCTGCTAAAAACAGGTTCAACATATATCAAAAATGTCTTTAAGCCAAACAGCTCTGTCTCGAATGTGATTTCCCTCTTAGCAGGTAACCCCTTTTCTAGAACTTCCCTCTTAAAATCCTGGGACTCCTTAACACCCGCTCCAGTAAAAATTTCCACATCTGTTTTTCCTAGTATGTCCTGAAATAAAATCCAACATTAAGTTTTTGAGATTCTGATGCCACTTCTGGCAAAAAGAAAATCTTTGAAGAGAAGAAAAGAGTTTAAGAAAAAGACAAATAACTTGACTGAGAAAACCGAATCTTTTCAAGAGATTATTGAGGCTCTAATAAGAACTTCAGCGCAACATATTACCTCCTCTTGCAAGCTTGGAAAATGATTATAAATAAAGCGATAGCGTAACTCTTTATCCTGAAAGAAAAGTTAACCAAAGAAGCAGATTTATTAGCAGGAAAAGACTGTCAGGCTAAATTTATTGAGAACATAAAATTAATGCATAAGATAGGTTTAGCTTACAGTTGCAAATCAAAAAGTATTCATATCATCATGGTATCTCCAAGTTGAGATTGCTTGTTCAATAACCACAATTTACTTTTAATATTTCAATCAATATTTTCATTTTAACATTTAAAACCAAATTGGTGTTCACATCTAGTGTAATCACTGCACCTACACAAAAAGGGAAACCCCTAACAAGATGGAAGCCAACCATATGTTAGTATGTCAACAACAAAGTTATTCTGTGTCTTATTTCATAATCAGCACAATCTGAGAAGCCCGGTCAATTCCATCCAAGAAGTGTAAACACAAAACAGGATATGGTAATATTTGAATTATAATTTTTTATAATTACCTGATGTCCCATGACAACGGGTGCATTTTGCAGTACAAAATGTAAGAAGTTGTCCGCTCTTTTAAGTATCTGGGACAACTCTTCTACAGGAGTGGACTGCCTTTCTAGATTGTTGACATTTTCCTGCAACTTCTCCATGAGTACCTGCTCTCTCTGGATGCTGGCTTCCAACATTTTTTCCAAATACATAGCTCTTTGTTTCCAGTATGCTACTGTGTCATACTCAGCATGAATTTCAACTCTTTTACTTTGAACAACTACATTTCTCCTTCGAGGAACTTCTTTCCACATATCATAAACTCCCTCCAGTATGGAAATTGGCCGTTTGTCACCCCCATATCCTTCCTCCTCAAACCGGTGTTCCTCCAATATCTCTAATTTCTTGAGTTCAGACTCCTGTTTCTGTCTGCTTAAGTTGTCCAGCTCTTCTTTCAGAAGCCGAACAATATTTGCCTGCTTATATTCCCAGTGTTTTACAAGGTATGCTAACTGAGAAGAGCCCCTGTCTGTAACACTGGTTAGTTCTAAAAGACGCTTGAAATCAGCTATTGTTGGCTCCTCCTGAATTGCAACCTCCTTCAACATATCTTGATCGCCTCTTGGCTTTTCTACATTGAACTGCTTCCCCACATCACTTCCAATATCTTCAGGCCACATCGAAGGGAGTCCTTCAATGTCCGTTTCTTCCATCCGTTCACCCTCCATCTCAGTGTCCATGAAAATCACTTCAAACTTTGTATCCACAACATAACCCCAAGAGTTTACCAAGCCACCTTCACCGTCCCAATATATGTTTCTAGGCAAATCTCCACTTACCTATGCAAATGCAAGACAGGTTGAAGAATAAGTAACTTAGATAAGTCTAAATTTGAAAGAAACCACACCTTATAATGGCAAGGAGACTGATCAGAGAGTAAGGACTTGCTAAAGAAAATAAAATGTAGAACATTATTAATTCTTACCAAGAGTTACTAGGAATGACTTTTAAAAAAATAGTTCTACGGTGAAAGCAAAATTCAGA